AGGAAGTTGTGAGTTATCTCCATATGCTCTTCATTTAGAAGAAGTTTGTCATAACTGAAACTATTTCTTGCAGCTATAATTGCAATAGAAACATATCACGAAATCCGTTCTTTGATAAAGGATGAACTCACATTAATGGACTTATTATTGTAGTTTCATTTGAACAGATTTATGATTTGAGTGACTTCAGGATTTTATGGTGCTCATGAAAGTCTTCTTGGTTGAGTGAAATGTTCCACTTGTTAATGAAATATAGTAGGAGCCAGATTTGCAGCCAGCACAAATGTCGTTGATTTGTGAAGGAGGATGTCCTTATCACACCTTTTTGATGTGTGGTTTGGTCTCTCTTGTACAATTTACACTCCATTTTTAATATCCTATTTCAGAGTGTAATCCCCTGTGTGATTAATTTTAAGTTACATTGCTTTATACCTTCTATTTTCTTTTCTTTTCTTTTACTATATGGCTCTACTGTTACTGCAGTAAATTTATTGCAGTAATGAATTAAGCTTGTATCCCAAACTCATTGGAGCATCATTTGCTAAGCATTAGTCCATATTACCAGAACATAGACTACCTCTAGTGTCATTTTATTCTGTGACTTTTTAGTGCCTCAAGAAAATAATGAGAATAAAAGAAGTAAGTCATTATAGGGCAGAAACCAAAATGGGCTGGAGATTTTTCATAATTCCCTTGAACTGCAAAGTTACAATGATAAGTTTAAGGATGTCTTATTGACAGGATAGCAAGAAAACATGCCATATCCACTGCATCTTTTTGATTAGTGATTGTTTTTACACATGATGGTTTCCATATTATTTATTACTATTAGTACTATTAATATACTTATTATAAGTATATTATACTTATCACAATAACAATAACAATAATAACAACATCAATATCAATAGGAGTAGGGAAAAAAATATTCTAAAAACCCAAGCTTATAAATTGGCTTTTTGGTGGCTGAATATTTGTGGAACCATCTATGTGCAAACAAAATTCACAAAAGAAAAAAACAGTAGTTAGTGTGTTTACCCAGCACCAGTAGGTTAGTGGTATAAAAAAAACATTCATACAGTGATTGTATAGTGACATATCAAGAAATTAGTATTTGTTTTTCCACTGCTCATTAACCAGGTACAATGATTGCTTTCAAAGTTTCTAATCTGTTGCAACTATTTGCAGATTTGTTGTCCATGAACCATAGGTAGTATGTTAAAAGAATAAAGTACCTTTCATTTGAATATTAGAGGAAACTTTTACATGAGTTCTAAGGTCCACAGTCCATTTGTGGAAGGATTACATAAGTCATTCTATCATTTTTATTTTTTGAAATTTAGTTGTTTTCTGTGTAATGTACAATGGTGGTGCTTGTGCCAGTGTGATTTATTATTTCTTGTTCAGGTATACACAGAGGAATAACTTTCACTTGCTCATATTCAGCACAGATTTTTTTTTTACTTCATTCCTTTCTTACAAGAATTTTTGTTTATTTATTTTTTATTTATTTATTTATTTATTATGTTTTTAAGACAAAGTTTTGTGCACTAGCCGAGGCCTTGAAGTATGTGCCTTATTTTTGTCTGCATCAAGCCTTTAATATTGTCTCACTTGCATACCATGAAAAACAAAACCTTTTTTTTGCTTTTCTTGTTGACTGCTGAAATTTGAAGAATTCATAGTGACTTTGCAGTACTTGAAGTCCAGTGTGTGACTACAGTAGATGAGCTACATGTATTCTTGTACTCAGTAGTGCTTTCCCTTTGTTGCAGGTTATTGTGCTTAGTGAATTGTTAAATAAGTTTGACATGGAGGCTTTATATTAATTTTGTCTGCATTTCTCAGTTGTTCTCTAAAATATTTTCTAAACATTTTTGCAATGTTTGGGAAAGTAGAATGGTGATTTCTGGTCCTGTTCCAAGGCCTAGTGCAATCTCATTTCCTTGAGGTTAGAAAACAGAAAATTGAGTAAGGAATCACCTTATCAAAATCCTCAATGATAAGACATCACAAGATGCTTTTTATACATGTTGTAATTTACTCATTGTAAGTCTAAAGAAAACAAGATAATGAGCATATCATAAATGATATAGGTTGTGGAAAAAATTACTGTGATTTCATGTTGAGATGGTGATGTTGAAGAGATGAATATTAATCTGTGAAGTGGTCTGTAATTTCTTGCTGTAAACCCTCTGTGGGTGCTTTAACATTCTGCCTGTTTTTTCCATGGAGAAGAGGCTGTTTGTATGTGAATAATGATTTCATATCCCGAAGGATATGCTGGGTTTACCAAACTTCTGACTTAGAAGTTTTACTGTTGTCGGTGACAGATTAATTCGTGAGAGTAATTACTGATGTGCAATAGTAATTTTTTCAGAACAAAGTATTATCCATACAACTGATTCAACATTAAGCTTAACTAATATTCTTCTTTCTCCCCATGTTTATTGTCCAAATGTAATACTTTTTAGGTTAAGGGAGATGGTAGAAATACATT